TTAAGGTAAAATAGTGGGTAAAATAGTCTTTAAAAAAATTCTACCACTGTATGTTCTGTAGATTTAAATATTTACCCTGCAAAGAGAAGATAAGGGATAAGTAAAGAAGTAATAGTTTTGTCAGTGTATTATCCAGAAAGCTTAAAGTACTTGTACATAATATCTTCTCTGTACTAATGATCAATATATCAAAATCATTTTGACAGACTCTGCTAACTTGTGGCCAGAAGTAAAATGTTGAATTTAAGACACATAATACACATTAAATAGGGTTTGCAAAAAAAACTGTATTTTTCCTAGAAATTTGGGAGCAGATACCTTGACAAAGAAAGTCTGGATACCATTTCTCAAAAGCAATCTAGCCAGGCAAAAGTTTATTTATTATTCCCAGTAGTAGTATGTGCAAGAGAAACATTTAACCAAGATTTATCATTTTACCTCTAATGGAATACTCATTCAGTATGAGAGAAAATCATCAATGGACAGTAGGTTATGCCCTTGAAAAATTGTGCTATCAAATCAAAACAATTAAAAGGTAAACACCCTATAACTTTCTATAATACAAAAATTATGTAATATAATGTAAAATATTATTTATATTAGTCTACAATAAAAGTTAGAAAAAAATGCTCTTGGTCATTTAGATAATCCAGGGCTGAAGCCAGCATCCTGAGGGATAGCTAGCACGGGTTTGTTGCCGGTAGGTCTTGCTTGACCAAACTCATTTCCTTTTATGACCAGGTGATCTATTAACTGGACAAGGGAGAAGAGATTGAGGTCATATATCTTAACTTCAAAAAAGCCTTCAATCTGGTATCTCATGATTGCCTCTTGGGAAAACTGGCCAACTGTGGCCTTGGGTCCACCACGATCCGCTGGCTGGGAAATTGGCTCCGTGCTTGGACCTAGAGGGTGGTGATTGATGGAAGTCAATCATCATGGTGCCCTGTGACTAGTGGGATCCCCCAGGCCTCTGTCTTTGGACCCATATTATTCAACATCTTCATTAATAATGTGGACATTGGAGTCAGAAGCAGACTGGCCAAGTTTGCCGATGACACCAAACTTTGGGGCAAAGCATCCATACCTGAAGACAGGTGGGTGATCTAGGCTGACCTGGACAGGCTCAGCAAATGGGTGAATGAGAAGCTGATGGTGTTTAACACTGAAAAATGAAAGGTTCTCCACCTTGGGAGGAAAAACCTGCAGCATCCTTATAGGCTCGGCAGTGCTACGCTGGCTAGCACTACGGAAGAAAGAGACTTCGGGGTCATCATTGACCACAAGATGAAATCTATGAAAAGATCCAGTGCAGTCTGGAGGTTTTCCTCAGTGTTTGCAAGGATGGCACACTCATCAGCTTGTAGAAAGTCATGGATTTCATAGATTTAATTGATTTCATTGACATTAGGGGCTTGAAGGGACCTTATGAGATCATCAGGTCCAACCATCCCAACGTAGGTGGGAAGTCAGCTGGGATCAAGTGACCCCAGCAAGAAATAAATCCATCTGTCTTTTGAAGGAGTCCAGAGTAGGTGCTTGCAGCACCTCTGGGGGAAGTTTGTTCCAGACCCTGAATACACACACTGTAAATAACCTTTTTCTTATGACTAGTCTAAATCAGCCTTCTTGGAATTTATGGCTGTTAGACCTTGTTATCCCTTGGGCCGCTCTGGTGAACGGGTGTTCTCCCAGGTCCTGATGTACCCCTCTTATGAAGTTGTAGGCTGCCACCAAGTTGGCTGGCATTCAAAAGCTTTCCTTCTGTTAGTCTGGCATTGATAGATCCCTTGACAATTTTCTCCAGGATTTTCCAGGGTCGGATGTCAGACTGATAGGTCTATAGACCCCCGGGTCATCCCTCCTCCCTTTTTTGTAGATAGGGACCATGATGGCTCTTTTCCAGTCATCTGGGAACTCACCCAAGTGCCATGATTTTTCAAATATCTCTGCCAAGGGGAATGCAATGCTGTCTGCCAGCTCTTTCAAGACCCTTGAGTGCATTCTGTCTGGGCCCACGAACCTGTGAATGTCCAGTTTTTCAAGGCGTTCCCTCACCTAATCAACATTGATTTTGGCCCCATCACCTGCTTCCAAATTGGTTAGTGCTGTTTCTGATCCTCCTGGGAGGGTGAAAAAACAATACAAAAAAGTAATTTAGGAGATTGGCCTTTTCTTGGGCATCTGATGTCAGTTGCCCTCTTGGATCTCCCAGGGGCTCAGTACTATCCTTGTTCTTTTTTTTTACTTCCCATGTAAAAAAAAGAAGGAGGACTTCAAGGACTTTTTGTTGTCCTTGATCCCTGTACCTTGCCTTGGCTTTTCTCAACTGCTCTCTGCAAGAGTGGGCAATTGTAGAGTAATCCTCTTTGGTAATGTTTTCAGTTGGCTTCCTTGCCCATTGACTGCATTTCTTGCGGGAAGGGATGGCTTTGCCCCGTGCTTCAAGGATTATGTTTTTGAGCAATGACCATTCCTCATGTACTCTCTTTTCTGGGGGGTATGGCCTCTGATTGCCTGACTGACCAATTCTCTCAGTTTGCAGAAGTTGGCCTTCCCAAAGGATGGCTATTTTGTTGGAGGGAAAATGTCCCAGATTGAAAAGCCATCCATTTATTTGGTATTCAGTGTCAATTATGGAAAAAAGTCAGACCCTAGTAAGAACCATAGGCACCAAGTATGTGGAGGCTCAAGGGCCCTGTCTTGCCTTGGAAAGCTGGTAGGGTGACCAGCCATCCCTAATTGGGTTGGACAGTCCCTAAATAGGAACATCAAGCCACAGTCCCAGGCTGCATGACTCTGGTACAGCATTTGTCCTGGATTCTCAGTATCATACAGGGATCAAGGTTTTCTGTTCATCACAGGGAAAACATGGGAAATGGAAGATTTGTCCTTGTAGTGATAGCAGTGGGAGTAACAGCTTCTCACTCTTATCCTCTCCACTTATGACTGGAACAAACTGTTCTTGTCACAAATCCTCCAAAAATTTATATGCAGATGAGGCAAAGAGAAACCTGGCCCAGCTCCACCTCATGGTAGGTGGGGACACAATCATATGTGCCAGACCAAGAGAATGGGTGATAGAGGGATTTGGGGCAAACTGTTTGGGACCCCATGTGGTGATGCTTGTCAGACACTTAAGGCTGGTGAAGAAACAGGAATAATAAGAAAAACACACCTTAGCTGTAGGGATGAAGAGGATTTTGAAAATGTATATAATGTAGTGGCTCACCAGGACTTAAAAAGGAGTCAGCACTGAGTGGGACTGAGCACAATGGGAGCTACCATATATCTCAATCAGATGGGCTGCACTAACCTATCATTGTAGTAGGTTTTTGTCAGTATGTTTGTCCAATATGGGCTATATGTTTTATAGTCATGATCAGAATTGGCTACATTTAATAAATTTCATAGTTGGTTTCCAGCACTGAGTACACAATGATTTGGTAACAGTTTAATGATTGACAATGTATTTAGTGAGGTTTCTTGGTATGCAAATGTAAAAGAAGGAGCTCCCCCACATGCTGATTGGCGGGGGAGGGAGTGCTTGTCTTATTTTTGAGTAAAAACCTGTCTTATATTTGAGTGAATCCAGTGTTTTTGTGCAGCTTAATGTGGTGATCCACAAGAGGTTGGGTAGGGGAACTGGATTGTCACTCTTTATGTTGATTATGATACACCAAGAAAAGTGATGTAGTGTAACAACAGAGAGAATATGACAGAAAGGTGATAGTTGTTTAAGTTGTATTGGAAATCACTGAGGGAATCTAAGTATTTGGTCAGAGAAATAGAGTTATCACTGATGTAGCATAAGTATTAGTTTTGTTTAGTAGCACATTTTTCTTCAAGGTGGTGCATGAAGTAGTTCGCTGTTTAGGTCAATTACTGGAGGAGGGAAGTCAGGACATGGGGAGGGAGGAAAGGGCATAAGCTGGGTTCTGATCCTTGCTTCAAGGACTGTTTCTATATTTTATTAAATGACTGTGTAATGTTTATCCTTTTTCAAGTCTAAGTTGAGTGTTTCACTTTATATGAAAAAAGAAAATCTCATGGATAATTTTTAAGTCAGCAAACACTGGTAAAGTCAATAGGTTAGCAAAACTCTTTACAGAGAATAAGTTTAGTGCACAATTGACAGGGTAAAGTTACAATGAAAGATTGACAAGGCATACAATGAGTAAAAATAAAATGCAGTGAATAGGAGAGTACACCAGTAAGTGCAGAATATGCTGTAAATGAAAGTAGTGATAATCAAATGGTATACTACAAGAATAGATTTTAACAAATGGAATATTTCCAAAGATACTTAAGAAGGGAATTCTTATTAACAATATCAGGTTCTGTTCTACTTTTGTCGACATTGACATTAGACAGGGTTTAACTCATTTGATATTTTTCTCCTAAAGATGTGCTTCTTTCTGATCCAGCTAGTTTTAAATGTTCACTCATTTTATCTGTTGCCTTTAATTCCATTTTATCTGTTGCCTTTAAAGCACAGCTGATGTAGTAGTATGTTCACTATTAATCACCATAACAGCTTACCAGAATGTATTGTAACAAGGCACATACGTGCTTCTTGAGATCAGACAAACTTGCCAGGAAGTGGTTTGCTAGAGCACCAACATACAAAGAAGAAAAGGAAAATACTGGTTCTCTTTAAATTTAAGATACACAATGTTTTTGTGTATAAAAGGTATATCAGCTTAGCCAGATTGATCTGAGGCTGTTCATAGCCAAGACATTTTAAAAAAGCCAAGCAGTATAGATTAGGTGCAGATGGAAGGGAGGAGGGTTGCCTTCTACAAGAGCATGGGCCCATGTACCTTTTTCCTATGATCCTTTTCAACATGAAATGCTTCCCTGTTTTTGAAGGGATGTTGTCAGTGTCCTTCTCACATCTTACCTACTGCTTATCCATGGCATGTTTTGTGGTGCTCTTGGTGTTTCTGGTTTTGTGCCTTGTTCTGTTTGTGTGACACTTTGAAGGGGCAGTCTGGGGAATTCTTGGGTTGCTTGTAAACATAGGTCACTGGGTTTGACCCAGGAGGTTCCTTCCAGTCCTGTGTTCCTATCAGTACATACACACTTCTCCATTTGTCATGTACAGACTTCTCTATTATAAAAAAGCCTGTAACCACTTCAGGACCCACACAAAACCTTAAGATGGTTCTTATAATGGCAGAGGATTTTCATCCTCTCTTTTCTCCAACTTCTTCCCATCTTCCTCCTCCCATAAGAAAATGAATAAGTGGGGGTGAAAAAAAATCAGTTACAGAGAGCTGGCATTATTTTCAAGCAAGGTACAGTGAGAGAAATATGGTTGAAATTAAGTCAGTAATTTAACTTTAATTTCAACAGAATTTATGCAACCCAGATTAGAGTTTTAAGTCAAGGAAAACTACTCAGCCTGCAGCCTATCAGTTTTAGATGTTTGATAAATTATTACTCAAACTGGATTGTCATGTTGTGAAATGGAACTATTGTACCATTATCTGTTAACTCACCAGGGAACATGGCAGCCTACATTCAAATGCTGTCAGCTAAAACATTCCTTGCATATATTTTGTATTCACAGTATAGCATTAGTTTGTTGGAAAAGCAGCCTAGATATGAAGAAGCAGATCAACTTGAGGAATATAATGATTAGTAGACATTTTATGCTGCATTCATTTTCCTTTTTCTTGTAGCTGAGCTTATTGCATTGCAAGCTTCTTCAAAAGAACAAATCAGTGCTTTATCCCTTGCTCCTGGGGAGAGAAGTTGTACTTCAATTCTGTTTCCAAATATAGAAAATATGTCTATTTTAAATGCAGAGAAGAGGCTCATCTGCATTGCTGTAGCTCTTGCCTACCGTAAATGAAATCTGAATATGATTTGTGTATTAAACTATAAACTGGGGGGAAGAAGCATGAGGGGTGTAGATCTCCCAAGGAGACATAAAAATCACAAGAAAAATATTCTTTTACTTATACTGAAATGGGATAAAAAGATTTAAAGGCTAAATACCATGGAATATGATTTCAGATGCTATTTGCCAAATTTCAGACTAATGGGCTTTTATGTTGATGTAATATAGCCAAGAACTAACTCCTATGTACACCTAGTACTGTTTTTAACACCCTTATAAGCTTCACATTTATACAAGGTAATTCTTTGTCTAATTAGTCTTTCTATCAATAAAACTACAGGTTTATTCATTGCATCTCCATGCCAGTCCAGAATAGTTTACTGTTTTCTTACTTTTTTGTTTTAAATTTTAAAAATGAGAACTGAGACAGCCTGTATGACTATAAATAGGTGACTACATAGCCATTTATTTATTTACCTATTCGTGTGTGTTTTGCAATTCTATTCCCCCCTCCTCCCCAGTATTCTGTTACCAATAATATTTAATAATAATAATTTATTCCTATTAAATTGAAAATCTAGGGAACAGCCAGGTGGTCAGATATCAGCATTCTGGCTTATTTATCCAAATTCTTTTCTAAGAAGAACCCCAAACAACTACTTGCCTCATTTTATGATTCCTTGCCATAAAATGAAAAGACAGTTCCCAAATAGATGATTGAGGATATACGGGTTCTGTCTTTCATGATATGTAGGTTCCCCTCTAATGGTACTAATACACTGCATCTCCAGACTGAGGCATGGGAAAAAGGAAACCGCATCTCAGCCACAATGCATCACAAGCTTTTGGAGAACTTCAGGTTAGATCATTAACAGATTACCTGCTTTTCCATTAGAGGTTTGTATACAGCAGAATCTCTACCTTAATGTGATGTAGTAACAGTTGACATGGGTTTTGCCTTGTATCCCACTTCCTTGCCAAAGGGACCTGCTGGGTAGAGGGGTAGTGTCTTAGTAGCAGAGGTAAAAGGTGATGATTCTCAAGCAAGATGAAGCTAGGGACCACTAAGTTAGGTGCGGTGATACTGAGCATTCCTGAATAGATTTGGCTTTCACTGCTTGCAAGAGTTCTTTGTTCTATATTTGCTTCCAAGGGGCTGTATGTAACAGGACCTTGATTGTAGCCAGGCCAGACTTTCTGTCAAGGAAGATCTGCACAGTCCTGAGTATTTGGTAGGTACAGGAAAAGAAAACAGCTATATTTTGAACAGACGTTTTATAGTTTACCATAGACAAGCTAAGAGTAATTATTGAAACTACAGGAAAATTCATATGAACTACACTGAGAGTAACATCCTCTGCCTACCTATGAACTCTGAGGTAGTTATATCTCGTTGTCCTTGGTTATTTGGAAATGGGTTAGTACTAGGCCACCCCACCCTTTATCCCCACAAGGGGAAGGGCTTCAGGGTAGGCTATCAGCAGCTTTGTTTTTGTCTACACTGGTAGATCTACTTAGAGTGGGATCTGTGCAAATACCTGAAAAACATGAATAATGTGTCATTAGTAAAGCAGAATCAGAATTACTGTCTGCTGTTCAACTGCTATCACTGAATATTCCCAGAGGCGGCATACCGGTTAAACATGACTCTGCACTGTTTAGCCAAAATATTTATTTGTTTAGTGCAGTGGCTTGTTTGGATAATACAAAGTAGTCTTGATCACCCACTTAAGTTTATGTTTACAATAATTATGAACTGAGTTTTCAGACAGCAAAATCTGCCAGTGTTGCAAGCTCAGGACCTGTACCTCAGGGGACTTACTAGGGCTGTGTGAAACAGCAGCATTCCACTTCAACTTCCATTTCAATGGAACAGTGCTTCATTTCATTTCAAAAGTGCTGTTCTGTTCTGTTTTGTCAAAATGGTTTTGCTGTTTCAACACTGTTTTGATGTTTCGCCCATAGGCTATAATGAGGAAGCATGAAACAGCCTATAACTTTGTCATTTCTTGCCTGATTTTGATCAAATGTGCAGGAAAGCTAGCTCCTTCTGAAAGCATGAAGCCTACCATGTTTCAAGGAGATAGATGCAGGGGTGTAGCAGGGCACTAAAGTGCCTGCTACTGGAGGCAGTGTTACAAGCTCAGGGGCCAATCACCAGGGCAGCACAGGTGCGGGTTGCCGTGACAACCAGTCTGGTCATCTGACCAGAAGGGGGCAGGGCCTGGCCTTTATAAACAGCATAGGCCAAGGCCAGAATCCAGTCCCCCTCTGGCCGCCAAGGAGGTAGACGCTCAAGAAAACCCTGGTGGGGAGATACATCGAGGATGGCCAGGTTGGCTAGGAATTTATGTTATAGCCCAGGGGTTTTGTGCGTATGGTTTTAGTTGTTGTGGCGCAAGAAGTGTGATGTAAGACTGGAGGTTTGGGTGAGGCTGTAGGGGTGGAGGAGACCTCAATGAGAGCCCCCCAGTAAGGTGGAGGTGCTTCGAGCGCCAAGGAGGGCGCTGCAGGGAGCGCAAGAAGTGCATGTAGGAGCCTGGTGCGGGCTATGCGAGCACAGGGAAGAGGCCCAGTGGGCGCAAGAAGTGTGAGAGGCACAGCTTTATAAGCACTTGTGGTGCTCTGGAGAGGTACCGGAGGACTGGAAGAAGGCCAACGTGGTTCCCATCTTCAAAAAAGGCAGGAAGGAGGACCCGGGAAACTATAGGCCAGTTAGTCTTACCT